ATTTTTTCCCCTTGCCGCTACAAGCGACGTCTTAAAGCGCTGTCCGACGATCTGTGTTGTCGCGGGCGAGGCCTTACCGCGCAAAGTTGCCAAACTTAGAGAACTGTAACGTTTGAATTTTAGCAGGCTCTATACATGATACGAGGTAAATAGAAATCTCGTACACTTTGTGATGGCATATTGAATCTGTACTTACTGAGTTGATCCTTTATGACAGACATTTATTTACTTTCTGATAATATTTTTGGTTTGTGTACATGGCACAAACAGTGAATATTGTACAAATCTCATATCAACTCGACTAGAGACTGCTAAATTCCGAAAGTTAGAGTTTGGCAACCCTGCGTGGCGCAGCCTCGCCCGCGACAACAAGGTCGTGGGAGAGCGCCTTTAGAGTGCCGCGCCGAACGATGAGAACAAATGCACTAACATGTTAGCGCGCACGCCACAAAGTAAAAAGCCAAAAGTCGTAGTCTGGCAGTAAAGCATCCGATGGAGCATCTCGATTACTGATCGTAGAGCTTAGAAAGTATACTAAACATCAATGAAGTATTTTGAAAATTTTCCGGTTTCCACATTTTTTTTATTATAGCATTAAAATTTTAGAGCTAACAGCAAAATGCTTTTAAACAGTAATTTAACTTAAAACGTAATTTATTATTTTTCGGTTTAGACTCCAACTTTATTATTATAGAGTACTTACTTATATTTCAAATTGCAACGACCGACGAAGTAAAATTTTACAGTGCCTTATCTATACGAATTTTAGTCGTATATAATATGGATATTTAGTCTAATTCACATTGACCGCGGCGCCTTGCATCGCATTGTCCAAAATTCTGAACGAAATTCCCGGACAATAATGTGGCGCGTCGCTCTTTACGTGTGACGTGACAAACGCGTGACGACGCTGCGCCGCACGCGTCATTGCACGATGGCGACGACGCGACACGTTGCACGCGACATTCGTAATGTTACGTCGACATTTTGGACCATTACGTTGCGTCAGACGCGACGCTATTGGGAAAATTCGCTTGATAAGTTGATTGAGGATGCAATTTCTTTATGAAAACAGTATTAGTCGCGCGTCCTATGCACCAATTTCGACTATGCAATCATACAATTACGATAATGTCTTACATAAAACTATAAAAGATTCAATTTCTTTTGGTGTTCATTGCACCACTCGAAGCCCCGAGTGGTTTGATGGAAAAGTTGAAGAAAATAACTATTTTTGTTAGTATGCTTCAGTGCCATGAGCCATACCTTTTCGTGCTTGGATTCATTAAAGTGCAGCTCTCATACGAATATAAAATAATACAAGTAACGGCTGCAACGGATTGCATTGGATGGGTAGCAATTAAAAATTGATATTTTAGTAGAAGCAGCAGTAACATTTGTACACCAACTGAATTTAAAACCACTACGGCAAGCACACGGAGCTCGAGAATACTTAGTATTCGTGACAATAGCCTAAAAGCTTAAAAGAAAACCCAGTACCTAATCCCCTTTTCTATAATTCGTAGTGATATGAATGATTGTATGTTATTACGCAATCATGCAAGAAAGCTGACGAAATTTGACCAATAGTTTTTTTGTTCTGATTAAAACAGGATACATTCTACTATTATATGTGGTCCACAGCGGTACACTAAGAGATTTTTCTTTAATTTCTAACCTATCCACACGGATGACGTTAGGTGCAAATCGCTATTTTAGAATAACAGCATTAATGAGTGTTATTACTTCTGTTATTATTACTTTTGTTGGATTTCTTTTGCATTTCTCGCTTTCATCTAAGGAGAAGTGGGTGTGGCTGAAAACCAGCGCTGCCCGAAACATTCTGTAACGAAGCAGTTTATGCTGAGCCACATCCATTTGCTCTTCACGCTGTCATATCGCATTGTACTATGTTACTTACTGTGAGAGCAATAAAAATATTTCTATTCTATTCTATTTTATTCTATTATCTGCTGAACCTAACGTACTATCCTCTAGAATAAATCACACCCTCCAATCCTCTCGGACTTTGCAGAAAACCTATAAAAGGACGTACATAAACTTCGCAAGCGTGCCATTTACCTGTATGTAAGCTATACTTTCGATTATATAGAAAATACCTGATCTATCGATAGCAGTATCGAAAAGGTGTTTGCGATTAAACACGTGTATAGGGTCGAGGGGCATCACGTAACGGCGCCGTTTGACGAGACCCGAGATGTACCTATTTTGACAGACCCAGCTTCAGTGTTACAACTTTCAAAAATATTTACCACTAAAGTAAGTGAAAACAACTAAAATCTAATAATTACCAGGACAATTTCCACATGCACTTTAAGCTAAGCCAAAAACATGGGAATGCCCAATCAAAAAACATCACTGAGTATTTGTATCATTTAACTAAAAAATCCATATTGATGTACTAAAAATGCTTCATATAGTAGTTGGTGTAACGTGGAATTACAGCAGATGTTATTAAATCGCAAGCTAGGTTAACAGAAACAAAATTCCTAGAGATATGTTTATCTTAAGGTCTGTACTAGGAAATTAATAAAAAAAAACTTCGAATATAGTGCCTCAATAAAAATCAATCCCTCATTTACCCCTACCAATAAGGGATAACCCTCTAAGTTGGCAACATTACCCATCTTGATAGCGATAGATAGATATTCCTCGCATGTCACCGTTCATTTACCGTGAATCGTTGTCGATCGCGTTTCTCCATTTCACTTTAGGTTGTTAGATGGGTCCGGCCGTTGGGCAACTGGCTACAATGACTTGAGTGGATTTGGGGAAATTAGGTCAGAGATATTGCTTTACGTTACTCACCTTGAATTTGTGAGTGAGATGGATTGAATAAACCTTTGTTGGATATTTGATACTATTTATTATTACTACATTTCTCTTCAAGCGATATAATCTTGCAAAGTATTAAATATAAGTACCTATAAATAAGGGTAAAATGTATAGAAACATTTTAATGTTGTCTAGACACGAACATTATCATCTCCCAAAATATTGTACAGTAGGTCCAATTTTATATAAATATTCAGTAACAATTAATATTCCTAAACATTCAAATATCTGTAATAAAAATATTCTACTGCGAAATCTTTTCTACATAATATAAGTCGCAATTGTGAAATTGGCGAGGCCAAATCGAGCCCCTGTCAATGAGGGTATCCTTTGAAATGAGCGTGTTATAAAAACAGCGTCGAGGATTTGGAGGATCTCAATATTACACCGGACTGCTCTTTTCTATTGACCTTTTTCGTCAAAACGTTAACTGTAAATATCCACCATGTTATAGAAATTTTAGTAATAATGTACAATAATATACTGGATTCCTTGTTGATTTAAAAGAAATAGGGACCGCACTCACATACGTCGGTCATATTTAGCACTTGCCAAAATAACCTGTTTTAATAAGTGAAATAGTCAAACAAAAGACGGAGACGAATCAGCCTATCCAAGTTTACTTCTCCAGTGCCATATTTCACCAAACCGATATACGTCACTGACATATAGCACCCCCAGTGCGACACTGTCACTTATGCAAAAAAATCATTTTTTTAGGAGAAGCGTTTAAAACTTTAACATCCCAAAACATACAATATTTAAAGTTTTTTTTTAATTTTTTTTAGATTACTAGCTAAGCAGTATAAGCTTTTCACCACGAAAAAATCTTTAAATATTGTATGTTTTGGGATGTTAAAGTTTTAGACGCTCCTCCTGAAAAAAAATTGTTTGTGCATAAGTGACAGTGTCGCACCGGAGGTGCGTATATCGGATTGGTATCAATTTTTTCTGGTGACCGTATATCTAATTTTTCATGGAATGCAAAATAAGTGATCAGAGTGAGATATGAAAAAGTATAAATTTATTCTTTGTTTATAAATTTTCCTGTATAAGAACTTATCTTTTCAAGCTTGCGCGGAGAACCATTTTGTAACTAACAATGAAAAACTACAATTGTAACGCAAATCTTACACAGCCTTGATTTCATGTCAATACAACTAAAAAACAATAAATTGACAATAATATCTGTTTAAAAAAATACCCTTGTTTCACAACACAATCGTCGTCGAAGTAAGATACGGACAATTTGACAATTGTAAAAAAATGTCTGTCATTCTTATGACCATACCAATCAACGGTATTTTGATAGAGCTAAATTAATTTAAATTTAAACAATAAGTTTAACAAAAAAAAACAAACTATTTATTAATCATGTTCGATAAATAATCATAGATAGTAGCTAGTACAACAAATAATTTAAGATGACTAACATGCTTAAGTGATATTGACGCCAAGAATTTGTTAGAAAATTATTATTGTTAACACACATGTCCATAGAATAACACGGACGCAACCCGTAAGGGAGTAGTCATAGCGATCTTACCATTCAAATTGTTCTGTATTTTTGGATATTACAGCCCACCATATGTGAAAAACAAAACTATATCGACTGTAACACTTAAACAATGATATAATATACCGCAAAATCCTTTGCACTTCTTTAGGTCGTAATACCCAATAAGGCCTAATGATACTTTGACAGATGGGAAAACTGCTATATCACAGAACCTCTAACTATGTTCTGTGTGCTTCAATGCATGACTACTATCTTCCTCGTTGCGTGAGTGTCAGTTCAGATCGGTATGACCGTAGTTGGCGCGGTCACCTGCAAGTCGGTCGTGATCGTATACGAAGTGATCGCTGACCCTACCGCCGCGCCGGCCGTCTTCAAGTTGAAGTTGTGGTCGGCGCTGCCCGCGGCGAGTCGGTCGTGATCGTGTGCGAGGTGGACGCCGTCCCACCTGCCTTTTCAAAAAGAAGTTATTCTATACTCCTGACTTTTTAGTCTGTCGTTTAGTTTCGTCATCATGTTAGAGCGGTTGCGAGTCAGGCCTGTCGTGTGCGAGTTGGACGACGACCCGCCCGCAGCCGTCTTCAAATGGAAGTTGTTCTATGCTCATGGCTTCTTGTTTGTCGTTCAGATTCGCCGTCGTGCCGGAGCGGCGGCGTGTCGGTGGTTGGTGCCGCCCGCGGCGAGTCGGTCGTAATCGTATGCGAGGTGGACGCCGACCCACCCGCAGCTGTCTTCAAGTGGAAGTTCAACAACTCCGGCGAGACTATCGACGTCGCCGCCGACCGGTACACATCCAACGGCAGCGCCTCCAGCCTTAAGTAAGTTTCAGAAGATTTTGTTGTGATGAAAATGCCATGTGTTTTGAATAACAAAATTGTTTCGCCCTAAAAGCACAATCAGACTTGGTTGTTATCTCATATACGATTGTCTATGGATTTAGGACAAATGACTAAGTGTACATGAATGGACTCGAGTACGACCGTATTCTAGGTTAGCCGACACCGTTTTTTCTTTCAAGCAGCAGTACCAGATATTTTCTTAAAAAGCTTATTACAAAGTGTCTGATTATAATACAGACAAAAATGCTTGGGTTTGAACTGTTCTAATCATTCCAACAGGTTTTCTATATAAAATAAATCATAATTGTATTGACGTTGTAACAACATAATGATTTGTAAATGTTGTTACATTAGACTTTTAATGTTGTGGAGTTTTTTCGCTCGTTTTTCTCCGCAGCTAAAAGATATGACCATAACGAGTGGTAGGGAAAAAAAATACATTCAATTTGAACAAAGATATATTGATTTCTGATTTCCCCCAATTATTCCCCAAAAATACTTTCACCCAAATTTGGGGGAATCCCTTCAATCTGGCATCGCTGACTGGTACATTCTAACCATATGCGAGCGCAGCGTCTTTTGCCCGTCCAGTATCGGGTGCCCGAAATCCAGGATTTTTTTTGTGCACCCGAATACGGGCTAGCGAACAAGTGTAATTGCGCCCTCATTGCAATCCAAATTATTAAAATATTGCAATATTGTATCGTTGCAAAAACAATTATCCATATAAATGGTGACCTCATTCATACAGGCCAGATGGCTCCATGTTTCTTTCAAAAGTTTTGATGACTCAAAAACTACAGTTTCGTGATTATAATCGTTAAGCTATCTCTAATGGCGCATTGTGAGTTCATAAAATATCGATACTCATATCGATATCACCGCGAATAATAGACCTGAATATGTAGAAATCGACCCATGAAAACTAAGAACGTAAAACGTTGACTGTCACATTAGAACTAGTTAAATAAAAATTTAGCTGCTGCTATGTGCTCACAATGCTGTAACTACACAAAGTTCAAACATTATATTTTCTTTTCAGATATACCCCAGTCGCTGATTTAGACTATGGAACTCTTTCCTGTTCCGCTTCCAACGAAGTAGGCACACAAGTCACGCCTTGCGTCTTCCAAATGGTGGCTGCTGGTATGCAATTAACACATTTTGTCTGCCTTTTTATTTTCTTACACAAGCCTAAAAAGCAAGGTCTATACGAACTCCGTAGAGCAAGTGAACTCTTATTATATGAATATGAATGAAGCAGTACCTACTTTAATATTTACTTGATCTACAGAAAGATTGAGTAGATAGAAATAAAGGACAATGTTAAAGTTGGCCTAAGAACCAACACCAATTTGGTATTTATGATAATTCTTAGTATATTTTATGCGATAATTCTCAGTATTTAGATTGTGACGGACACTTCCAGTTAAGCAAGCTATATTAAAAAGTAAAAAAATAATCTGAGACAATAACTACCATTTTATGTGTATAATCTATGACAGCGCTGCAAACAAAATACTCTTTCTTCCTAATACTAGTAATAGTTTTTCCTTTAATTTAATTATTTTAACTATCTAATATGCCGATGGCATATATGTTACCAAAGAGCAGAGATCTTATTACCAAGTGCTAGTGAACCTGTGCTACAACATTTTGAGAGAATCATACTGCCAAATTATTCAAGAGCACCTGATACACATTCACGCTGCATATTTACACAATATACATGTGATATACAAATGAATACAATATGATACAAGTATGTGAAAAATAGGAAATAAATAAGAAGCAAAACAACAGTTTTTATTTTATTCACGACTCCTACCTAATCTAGTTTTTTCCTAGTATGTAGTTATTCTTTAAAATCGCACCGAATAAAAATGCATTAGTTGTAATATTAATTAATTTCATACTGAGTTCATAGGTTGACCTATGTTTCATTTAATATTAAACGTAACCTCAAAAAATGTTTAGTTTTCCTGATAATTTAAGTTTTCAGAAGTGTCCGTCAATAATCTTTGTTTTTACAGCCATTTACTTGCAATTTCGAACCTAGAAAATAATATTTCATGATTGTTGGTTCTTAGGCCAACAATGTATGGACGCAGAACAATGTCCTTTCTGGTTACCGGAACATTGTTTGTTAAAGCAAGTCGAGAATGACAACTAGGTATTGCGAAACGACATTTCCAATACATCAGGAAAGCTTTTGTTTTAGATTTATGTTATACTAGTGGCCTGCCCTCGCTTCGCTTCGGTATTTTATCCCCTTGGGGGTAGAATTGATCAAAATCCTTTCTTAGCGGATGCCTACATCATAGCATCTACCTGCATGCCAAATTTCAGCCCGATCCGTCCAGTGGTTTGGGCTGTGCATTGATAGATCACTATTGAGTTCTATATATATAGATTTGAATTTGAAAGAATTGCAAAGTCATGGTAAACGTACCTTAACATTGATGGATGTACTGTTTAGAAGCCAAGAAGCCTTAGCGTTCCTAGAACGAACTTTCCATAACGATTTTCCCTCTTAGCTATGACATGACGGTCTTCAAAAAGGTCTTCAAAAACCTTTTCTTGTATCTTTGCCAGGTAAGCCACACCCACCTCGTAACTGTACACTGTGGAACCAGACTGTGGATTCCGCGGAGGTATCCTGTGTGGCGGGCTTTGACGGCGGCCTGCCGCAGCGGTTCCTATTGGAAGTTTACTCTGCCGACGGAGTCAAACCCAGGTATTCTGCCTTTATTTTGGTGGTTTTGTTTTCAACAAGTCGCAGCAAAATAGTTCTGTTGGTTTTCTCATAATATCTGATATTGCATGTTAGCAAAGGCCAGCAACAAAGATATGACTAATGCATTAGATAAGTATTCTGAACCAGCCATCCCCACTTTTCTGACCTGAACCAGTTTCTCAAGATCCCTGGACCTATATGGAGGTCTTCTATTATGTGGAAGTTACTTCCTAAGCATTCCAACTTAACCAGGAGACAAATACCTCCATTAATATAGCTAGTGATATAGTAGTAAATTTTTGGCCGATTGGTTATCTAAACTAACTTGTCGGATGAAATATTCTACTTTCTACGGCAAGATACTTAACACCTCGTGGTTACAGTAACTAAGAAACTATAATGGAGATCAACTTTAGAATAAGAAATAAAGAAGTTTTTATTGCAATGTAACTCGGTAATACGATAGGCTATTACAACGGCTAATAAAAGGCTATGCAGTGAAATAGAAGCTGTTTTTAAGCATCAAGGATTTTATTTCTTACAAATTCGAATTACAACCCAATTTCAAGGAAATAACAATCGGGATATCCGTGCTATTATCGTTTTATAAGTCTCTTGACGTGCAACAAAATGGAAACATTTTAATAATAAGGCAGTATTTTGTATTTTGTGAGCGTATGAAATGAATGAGGCTGGGGGGTAGCATTGTTTTAATTTCGTGAGGCGATCCGTCCCCCCCATCTCCCCTCTCGTTTCACCCCTACTGCACTGAGGTACGTGTACTGAGTGACAACTCCTCAATCTAATGTTCTGACACTTCCTAAATGTAGATGCTGCTGTTGATAGCATTTAACGGTACAGCTTCAACGGACTTGTTATAATAAGATTGTTATGGGACCTCATGCCGGGAAATGATGTTAATATATCCTCACCTCTCCTCTGCCGTAGATTTACTAGACAACCCGAGCCTGATAGGTTCTGATACTTATTACGTAGGTATTCAGATTTTCATCACCATTAGTCCGCATCAGTCCCCTGCTGGACATACGCCTCTCCCATGTTCGGCCATTGAGCTCGATCTGCACCTCTCCTCATCCAATCATTGCCCGCTGCTTTTTGGATATCGTCACTCCATCTTGTCGGCTATTAGCTATTCAGCTATTACTCTACTTATAATGCCAATGCTGTTGGTCGCAGATGACCTTTACATCATCACAGCGCTTGTTATAGCGAGATTCTTAGGGAACTACAAGCCCGAAATTAACGTTAACAACCTGATGTGAATCTCCTCCTCGGTATATACACTAGACAATTCATGCTTGATGGATTCTGGCACTTATTACATATTCAGCTAAATTCTTTCTCGAATGCCTCCGAATATGCCGCGCACTTCTCTTAATAATGTAATAATAGCCCGAAGAACATAATTAGATTTATTAATTTCATAATCGACATTTCCTTGAATTTATGTCTTTCGTCTCTCATCAAGCTTATCACTTTGATGCGGAGTAAATCCGGATTCGTAAAAGGGATTTGTGTAAAATGATATAAGTATTATATATCGTGATACAAAATTATTTCAGTATATATTTTATTATATTTAACTTTTTACTACAATGTTTTTGTTTTACACATTGAGAAAGTAATCAATACTTACGTTTTAGTATAGATACACTTGATTTTTAGCTGCATAACTCCTACACGACAAATTATAAAATTAAAATAAAGTTAATAACTCCCTTTGGTTTTACCTTTAATAATAATAAAATAATTTATTTCGGATAGCTAAGACCCATATTTAAACATGATAGAATACAATATAATATAAAAACATATTCAAAATACACTTAATACAAACAAAAATAAAAAAAAAAATGAACATTCAATATCGTTTATTCAGTCTAGGATGTTACAAGCACTTTTGTGAATGTCGAAAAGCTACGCCATCGGTTCGCAAATCTACGGCGGGAGACCTTGTACTAAGAAGAACCGGCAAGAAACTCAGCAAGGGCTGTTTCTTTCTCCCTGTATTATATACAGAGTCGTCAATTTGAAAAATGACTTCAATATGAGATAATTCATGAAGTCACTTTCCATTACAAATGTAAATGATAAAACAATTAAGACTATAATATAAAAAACAGATTAAAAAAAGGAGTTTTGGAATGCCGCGTCCTACTGTTTAGGCATTAAAACAAATGTACGATTAAAGTTAAATAATAGTACCCAATAACATTAGGACATAATACATGAAATGTAATGATACGACTTCTTCAGCTCATTTAGTTTTTAATAATGTCCTAGTAACGGCCGCCCGCGAGTTCGTCCGCGTTATGTAGGTATATTAGTTTTTGAGAATCCCACAGGAACCTAACAACTTTCCGCTATAAAGACTATACTATGCAACGATATTAAAAACCTTACCTTCTATGTCCAACTATGTGAGTACCAAATCAATTTACCAGTTTTTGCGTGATTGAGCAACAAACATACATACAAACTTTTACATTTATAATTATTAGTAGGATGACACAGATTTTCGTTTTCGAGTCTGTTTCATACTTGGTTGGTTATTTTTGAACCTTTTCACATAACAAATATATCTATAGGGAGATATATTTCTTCACTCGCCGAAATTGGTGAGTTCACGCTCAGATCCGAAAGTGGGGAATTGTGTCTGCGTACGCAGTGATGGTTTCATTAAGCTTGCAGAGCGTCAATTATGAATTACCGCCGACCGCCGCGTAATGCGACGTTCCGGGTTCATGCCCCATACCCCTTAGTTGTTTATTCTTATCTTAATACCATTTTCGCATGTTAGAGAGTTTCCACCGCGAAATAATGGAATCCATTTTGTTTAATGTCTAAATGTGTTGTGCGGAATGTCAGCAGTGATACACATACAATTAAATATTTATTACGGCCGTTAGATGGCTTCGCTTTAACTACAAGTTGACATGTAACACTCGTGATGTTGGTTTATTTAACTAATTTTGTAACAGTTACCTCTAAGCCTTGCCGCGATTTTTTCGGTATGAATTCACTTGCATTTTGTGTTAAATAATATAATTAGTGTGATTAATGATTTACTTACAATGTGTTTGTTTTTCGTTAGAAGAAAAGACAAGACACGCTTATCTTCAGTAACAGCTGTCTTTTCAGCGTTATCGCGTCTCCGCCATCTTGTCGGATTTACAGCTTGTTGTTTACCTGAGAACGTTGCCGTTGCTTGGATTGTCAAAACAAAAGACAAAACAATTTTACGACTCATTCTGGTTGGCAACGTGATGGGGTGAAGTTACGTCGCATCTCGTTGTTTTTTTTTACGGATTTTAGGGTTACGTGTTTGAAGGGTGAAAATGGTAGGTACTCTATTACCCCGCAGCCTCTGCTGTATCTTATCTTTCGCCTAACAGCAACGTAATATTATAAATGTATCGTTATCAGCTATTCATATCCCTACTTCTGGAGCACAGGCTTCCCGATCGGAACATGGCCGACCACACTGGCCCAATGCGCTTTGGTGGGTCCTAACGACTGCAAATGTGGCTGGGACCAACGGCTTAGCGTACCTTACAAAGAACGACGGAACTTGACAATTTTCGATCACCCAACCTATGACCGCTCATTGCGAATGTTACTCAACTTCAACGATGCAGACCCAGCAAGCTCTTGCAAAAACGAACTTTTGTGCAAGAAGGCCTTAAACTTTTTTTCTTCGGCAGGGTAAACCTATCGTCTGAAGAGCCGTCGTGGACGGTCCGAGGCTTGGAATGGGACGTGAGGTTCCGGCTGGTAGCAGTGGCCGTCAATGCTAAAGGTCGTTCGTCTCCCGCGCGGTTGGACGACCTGCTGTTCAGCGACCCGGAGAAAAGAACAGGTGAGAATAAGAATACTAAGTTTGTAAGAATACTACTCTTAACCCCAGGTAATACATCTCTAATCTAGCTCAAAGGCGTCTTGTTTCACTTAACATTCCATCTTTGTCAATTGTTAAATGGTACAGGTTTAGGTCCAGAAAAATGAATAGGTTTGAAACTTTTCAATTTGATTTATAAACTTTGGTGCAAGTGTATCTGAGGATGGTTTTGTTTTACACAGTCTGACTGATTCAGAATCAAGAACTCAAGGAATTGCATACAATTTTCGCACTATCTACACACACATACTGATTTATTTCAGATTATACTTATGTTTTTATTTTTTTAAGCATTTAACTGCTAGATGTTTAAATCTAAAGAAAAGTTTTACTAGAAAAAATCCACGCGGATCAGGCAGCGGACGGGACTCGAACCCGCATCCTTTGCAATCCGGGCGAATGCACTGATCAATTATGGCCCTGATAGCATTGTCAGATTATGTTTAGATATTAGTAAAATTGTATGCAATTTCCGTGCACTCTCAATTAACACTATGAATCCAGATTCTGATTCAGAATGTGTAAGGTCTGTCTTAGAGTATTTTTGGATATATGATTAAAATACTACTCTTAACTTAACCAGCCAAGATTACATCCCTAATCTAGTACAGTAAAATGTATTATGCCAAACGTATACAGGATTAAAAGAAGTTTATATTTTATTTATTACATTTCATTTCGAAAATGGCTAACAAGCATTCGATTTTACTAATGGCACACACGACCACCGTAGATATCGAGCTCAGTGAAATCAAATCAAAAATCATACCAAGAAGATGGACACGTACTGAAAGCGTACCTGTTTTTAATATTTCTTTTCTCTATGAATAACTATACCATAGACCATACCATAGAATGTTAGATATTTTATACATATTCCTTATTTTGTATTCTAATTGCAAAATAACTTACAATCAATTCGCAATAATGCATACCTAACATTAAATAACGTATTTTCACTAATGCCTTAACGCTCCAGGGCTCGCTAATGGGTCCAACGGACCCGGTTCTTCGTATTTTGTTGAATAAATGTTTAATTTTAACGCCCTTAGTACCTTTCAAAGGTAGTGTGACACGGCAAATGATGATCTTAGACGACAGTTACCCTCTTTCGTTTAAGTGGTAAAGGAGAAAAGGTTGTGTATGCGCCCACTGGACCCGGAAGCAACTACATACTTAAGTGTTTTATTCATCATGTTGTTATGCTTTATTAATATTTATTTAAAACTAACCTGGCTTCATTCGTACCGCGTTAAAAAGTAGGTACCCAAAATGTTATGTACTTATATAGGTTTAAGTTTCAATAAATATGTATATTTAGATTATATACACCCTAGATACCGTACTAACTGAAGCGGCACAAAAAAATCTACAACATATGGCAGATATGCTCGTCGCTACACACGCACGCACATTGGGGCATTTTTTGGATTGCACTATCTAGGCATACACTTAATCAAAGTGTGTATAGTTTGCGTCTTAAAATAGATAATACCTTTAAATTATTAAAATCAAATATCAGTTCTTCAATTGTATTGATTTGGTGCAAATGAATTTGGAACGCATTGTTGACTATGAACTATTAAAAACGCGATGAAAAATCTCTAAACACAAATCAAAACACACGTAATACCGTTTGGCTGTTGCAAAAGAAGCGGTGATTTTATTTGACACCGTACCTATCAATCTTGACAGTCGGCCTTATTAAGAGATTTAAAGAGAAATTTCGTGTGGATTTTTAGATAGCCAGTATTTTTTTTAATAAAAGTGATTTAAAAAAAATGTATTTTGTCATTATGTCTTTTTTTAGTGTTATTTTTTCTACAAACCTTGTCCTAACAATAATGAATACTATAAAAAAAGATTTCCAATTAAGTTCAATCGTTCGGAAGTGAAGCGCGTACATAAATTTTTATATATTATATAGGTACTTCGTAGAAAATAGGCTTCAAATATAATATAAATTGCAAAAACAAGAATATTTCAATGAAGAAATAGAAAACATGGACAGTGTAGATAGTGCTGATTTGAGAGCGACCTGCAGATTATGTAAAAATACCAATTTGTGTAGAACGCTGAGAACGCGTATGTTAATATTGTTATAATAAAATAAAATGTAGAAAATGACTAAATAAAGGATTTTATTTTAAAAAAATATTGTTAATTTATAAATATAATTTTAGAAATTCAAATTTGTTTTTTATTTATTTTTAATGACTGATCTATCGTTGCTGTTTTGGTTAAATAAGTACATTGAAGTTGTGTTTCAAAATAAATAAAATTGTGTTAAAAATCAGTAATCACAGAAATTATGACAATAAGACTTTATGTAGACCTAAAAGTGTGGTAAAATTTAAAATTTAGTAGTTGATTAAATATTTTAAACTATAATAATATATAATTCCTAAAAAACTAAAAATTTGCTTTTGTATAGTTATTTTGGAATAAACATACGAATAGTTTATTACTCTTGGTCCAGCAGACCCGGTAGCCAGTATTGATGTAACAAATTAAGGCAAATTAAGTGTTAAATATAAAAATAATGTTTTTATTCATCCGATTCAAATTAATTGATTAAAGTAGCCGAATTCTATATCTTATTACGTCAATCGTACCATCAAATAACAATTTTCTCATTGTGCAATATGATAGCTAACAAATTATTAATACCACTTCTGTTTCGACTTCCTGTCTTGTTCTTGCGAACAAATAACTATCCGGAGCGTACACACAATGAAGCATCGCCCACGGGCCAAAATCTTCAACAAGTTATATTGTATCGCAAGAAGCGCGGCGTCATTAGGTCACTATTGGAGCATACGAGTGGCACACTTGGACGTAACTAGTTTTTGTTCTAAATCACTCAGTGAAACTCAATTTGGAGGGTAAAGGGAAGCGCAGTCCCGCGGGATACCGGAGGGCGCGCTAAGTGCCCGGCGTGAGCTCTATCCTGCGCGGGTTATTAGCCGAGGAGGGAAAACATTAGCCTCGCCAGGAAAAATATAAGTAACAAGGAAAAGTGGCGGCTAAAACGCTCGGAAGATTTGATGTCGAGCCCAACTCGAGCGTGTCATGATTTCCTCACTTTATGTGGCCGAAAACTCGCTTCGTGACGCAGAATGCCGCGTGACTGCCGCCGCCCGCTGGCTAAAAAGAAATGCTTTTCACGTAGCGCGGAAGATAAAAAATCATACTCATTTAATATCCGTTCATAAATTCAGTTTCTTAACTCTTACAACCTCCTAATTTTGTATTTTGTCTCGAAATTACTCTTCAATACAAACATCATCATAAAATCTATAAAACTGTTTAAGTTATCCGAAACACGTCGTAAAGGTGAGGTTTTAAATTAAGTCAATTTGATCAGATCGGGGTCGAGACTCCACGGACGGACGCAGTATAAGCGGCCGCCATTGAAATAACCTTCGGTAAAAGGTTTGGGCCCTCCGAGGCGAGAAATTAAAGGGCGGACAGGCGCGGGCCGCGGCTCAGCACGCGCCATTTCCGACGGTAACTAGTGCTGCTTAACTCGAAGGATTTTTCCGACCGCCCGCCTACCGCCCTATTTCTTCGAATCGTATTAATGCGAAAGATTGGAAATACCCTGATTTTCTATATTTATAAAGCAGCTTCCAATAAATACATATAAATCAAAATGTTATGGAAACATAAACGTACATAATCTCAATATTTAACAGGATTGGTTTTATATTAAAAGATATCTCGGCTGGTTAACATTTTCACCGCTGTCAATGCATGCCTATTGTCATTCTTGCTAAGATTCTTTAACGAATACCCGAACGAGTTTTCCAAATATGCACACTCAACTTTACCCGGTGACGAGTACAGGGGAACAATTTCGTACTGCAGCTAATCACCGGGCTGAGAATGTCGACAATTTCTTTGAACCGTCATCGCAAAGACAACGGGGCATTCCGCCGAGCAACGCAACGTCTCGCGTCGTGTAATCTAACTCAAGGCCACGAAGGTGGGGCTCGCGAGCTGGCATTCGGAGAGGCCTTGATTAATCTGCCCGGTAAATCCGAGCCACGTTTAATTAAAATGGGATTATCTTGAGGTCGCAGACAAAACGGAGCGCCTGCTCCCCTGCTCCATCGATCTACTCAGAAACCCACATCGGACGTTAAAGTAGCTAGGTATGTCATTTAGAAACCTCTCACAAACATTTATGTTTGCGTTTTCGCGACCTCGTCGGGGCTACTTTTCCAGATTCATCAGAATAAATCAGGCTTATGCAATATGCGTAAGAGCCACATAATTTATGAATTTCCGCACTATCAGAAGCAGTAAATCGAGGCCCGTAGACAGCAGTTGCCATCTCATAAAGATTCATGGCTTCTCAATACGACTATCGGCCAATTTATCGTAGTCTATGAAACGATCTTCGCACTTCTGCAGAAAACCCTAGTGATGGTAATTTTACTAAAGTATTTCATTCACCAGTTGCCTTACTGGGCTTTTCAAATACGAAAATGTTAAATCCATTATTTAGCACTAAAGTGCGTTTCATCAAATAGTTCCTATGCCGTCATGTTGGCACAGTGTCTGTCAACAGTGTCATCACGTTAAGACATCTCTCCTGGTTAACTTGTTAACTAATCAAATTGCTTATTAACCAACATGACGGCATAGGAACTACGTGATGAAACGCACTATATTAATATTCCATTACAGGATTGCTTTAGCAGATCACAGGTGGGCGTTTTTAGATATTTGTAAAATCGATGCGCATCGATTTTAGATAAATCGCATCCGATGCGCGCATCGATGCCAAGTGTATGTCAGTCTGGCTAAAATCGTAGTATCAGAGGATGCGATGCGATATGAATTACGACAGATGCGTGTTTTGTGTGGGTCTCTTCGATTCATGAATTATTACTTGAAAATGTAATCGATTTTATATTTACTTTTCGGCATGGTAACTGTAAATATTTAATGTG